ATTTACCGAGATTTTATGTGATGCAATCAGTGTCCGTTTTCAAATTTTGCGTGACTTCCGTCAAGCAAAGACGCGCAGAAATAAAAACTGCACTTGAAAAAGCCGAATAAACGGCTTCTCACAATCTATCAGAAGAGATATGCACGTAAAGGTTCGAAATTTTTGTTAGGAAGTTCAACATTATTTACAGAATATCTTCTGAACTTTTTCAGGAAAGAAAGGATCATGTAAAAAAAAAACGTTTTCTTGTGAAACGGTCCATATTTTACGAGTTTGATTCATGTATGTTCCGGTCATGGAAGAAGCTCGAGAATTTCGGATTCAAGCTTGGAAAAAAATTATAGCAGAGCGTGGTTTCGATCCACGGACCTCTGGGTTATGGGCCCAGCACGCTTCCACTGCGCCACTCTGCTGTTGATTTTATTTAAGGTCTAAATAAAAATCAATCCTACAATAATAAAACTGGAACAAAGAATAAAATTTGAATAAACACAATTAATCTGGACAATTTAACTATAGTATTCTCCAATTTACTTCAAATATTTATTTTTATTACCGTTGTATGCATTTAAAATATATGTCTTCCAGCTCATTTTAGCTCCAGAGGACATTTCTTAACTCCACAAGAAAAATGAAGAAAAATTTTTGAAACTCTTTTAGAAAACATTCTCCGAAAGGTCTTCATCATTGCTGTTATTGTATATTCAAGGCGCATCTAAAGCAAGAATTTTTTTTGAAAGATCTTTTATATACAGTATAGTATTTGTATGTTGTAATATTTTATTATTGATTTTAATGCATAAACTATTGAAATTGACGATAATATCTCAATTTCTACAAGTGCTCTTCATTCATCGTACTTGTACGTGAGAAGACGTATCTATACAATTAAACACAGTTTTGCCACCCACCTTAGTACATTATATAAGAGGATTTAACTATAACTCATTTTTTAGATGTGCAGTACTAAAGCTTAAGATTTTTTATTGCGGATCAGTGAATTTTTTTATCCACCTGAAAAATTTTGAAGTACATTCTTTCGTTTTTTCAGCAAGGATCAGAGCAGCAAGAATATCAGGTGTATTTGTATGTACAATATGACGCACATGTGCAGCAGATAACTGATGAACAGCTGTTGATACACTGCACCAGTGGGTCATCCAGGGATGTTCTTGTGATACCGAAAATCGCGAATTCTTCCCCTGCGGAAAACGTTCCCGAAACTGCGATTGTTGTTGGCACAAGCATGCATCGGAATAATGCGTTGGACGAAGGTGAGTGCCAAAAAATAAGACGGCCTTGTCAAAATTTAAAGATTTAAAATATTCATCTGTGAAACTTGTGAAGAGAATTTGTTTGGGATTGTGGACAACTTTGCATGCATCATTGTGGCATATTTTCGTAAAATTTTCTGCAGACTGGCCACGTTCAGTAAACTTTTTGCGGTCCAGCAAGAACATTTTAAAATATGGTATTCACTCCAGTACCATGTGCCCTCAAGTAAGGCACGCACAGGGGTTTATCAGTTGAAAATTTTGCTAAAATCGTATACCCAAGTAAGACGCGCACCCCAATTCTAGTGAATCTAAAACCACAAAATTTCAAAAATAAATGCAAAAAATTTGACTTTAGACATGAATTGAACCAAAAGCAGATCAATTTTCAACTTTTTCAGTGCAAAAAAGTTTTCTTGTTACATTTGTTTGAAATTTCTCCATCATAATTAAGTATAATGCACACATAACTTCCTAAAACTTCTTGAAAAATTTGTACCCGCTTATGAAATGCACCCCTTTTTTTCTTCTGAAATTTGAGAAAAAAGTTGCAGGAGGTACTTGAGTAAATACGGTACCTGCCATACATGCAGTTTTCAAAACAAAACTTTTATTGCAAAATTAAGTTGAGAACCTGTGAAGCAGCTATACTGTATAATGAAAATGTCTTTTTTTAATATGATGCTGGACTTGAAGAAAGGTTTCTCAGATTGAAAACTGGAAGTAACATATTTCAGCACGTGAAAATATGCCTGAATTGGTATAAGGAGGAAAAGCAACAATTTATTTTTCATCAGATAATTTCAAATGCCATTGTCTCCAAAATTTGGGATTGCAATAACAGACTTCATTGCTACTTTTAATAAATGTATTATGTGGAATACATTTTTCCATGGACTGGCAAAAAAATTCTGCAGACTAGGGTTTGGGTAACACTTCTATAGAGTGTATATAGATGAAGTGAATGCTTTCAGGCGCGATGGATGTGTAACCCAGAGGTCCTTGGATCGTAACCACTCTCGGTGGTATTTTTTTTAATGCATTAGACTTAAAAGTTTAACGAAACATGGCAAATACTGTGATAGACTCATGTATTTAGGAATGTGTAATGATATTATTAACCCATTACCTGCCGTGGGCCCCATTTGGGACTCAGCTACTTTTTGTCTTGCCAAAAAAATACCACCAACATAAATATTAAATATGCTGCTGGGGGTTTCAAATTCTTGCGAAAACGATGATCAGAAATTAGCGCGCGTTTCCGAGTGCAGGTCACACTTGTATCGAAAATATTTTCACATTCGTTTTTCCAGAAAGATCAGCATCCAAGTCAGTGCGGTCGTCATACCGACAACCCGCATTCATTCGAGCCGAACCCCAAGAATCCACTTACGATCACGCCTCACCTGCAACTTCGACGACGAGTACGACAAGTGTCACGATGAGCAGCAAGATGTCGTCCCCATCATCATTATCATCATCGTCGTCGTCGTCGTCGTCGACACTGATGGAAAACCCTGGTTCACCTCCTTCCATGGATGCAGAGCTGACGGAAGAACGCGTCACTACGCTCTTCTGTCTGACCCCGAGCAAAATGATGCTCGCTTTCGGCGTGCTTTTGGCACTTTTGCTGGTCACTGTTTTGGCAGCTGCGACGTTTTGCGTCCGGTCTCGGCAATACGAAGTTCGGCCCCTGCCGCTGCATCGACCGCCGCCGCCAGGTGTCGCTCCTGGGACCCGGGGACTGCCGACGCCACCTTACGCCCACGTCATGAAGCCGAATTCGCCTTACTTCTGCGTCGTTCGTTGATGAGTGCACTTTCATTGTGCGATCTTTAACCTAGTTTCATGTGACACTTGGTAGACCATTCTTGATTGATCAGGGTCAATCATGAATGCCGATATGGTCATCAGTACAGATATAGAGAATCCATCCCTCGCATTATTGATGATGCGGTACACGTACTCTGGAGATTTTAAAAAGATATTATTTTTCTGTGGGAATAATTTTTAATTCAATTACGAAACATTGAGTCTGGGTTTCTCTCAGAAATTTCGATTAAAACGAAAGGGGTGAAATTAGGTCTCTTTTGCATATAACTTTCAAGTGGGAACGTTCTAAGTTTCACTGCACATGCATAATTTTATATCCGAAGCACACCTAAAAAACAATTTCTCATTTAGATTTTGACAAATTCACATTTGGTTTGATTTGTTTCAAAAAGTATAATTCATGATTAGGCGGTTAAATGAGTTTTTGAATAACCAGAGGGGGAAAAGTTCAATTTGTTTTTGAAGTACTTTAAATTGAAAATTCTGCAAGACAGCGTTGAAAAACTTCTGAAAATTTAACGTTAAAAATTATATGTGGGATAACATGAGCCATTTTTCTTTCATATTTTTCAAATTTCCAATTGTTTGGGTTCAAAATTGATGAGGAGTAAGAACTGGAAAAACCTTGCTAAATTCAAATTAAAACCAAGACGTGGAGTAAAATGACAATTTTGGAAGAATTTTCGCCATCGCATACGAATATTTTTCAGGTAAAATTTGGCACGTCAAATGGGAAGACCTATGAATTGCGCAGGTTACTGTTTCCTCGCTGTGATGGATTTTTGATAAAGTGCTGATTATTTATCATTGACCTATCCAAATAAATAGGCCAATTTCCGAAAAAGTCCATATTCAGTTTAACGATTGAAAATTTATTTTTCCTCTCAGGACTCAGCAGCAAGAAAATTTCCTCCCTTTTCACCGAAAAATTTCCAAGAGCTACAAAAAGTTCACGTATATGAGGTGCGCCTGATGCAGCNCCCTGCGGAAAACGTTCCCGAAACTGCGATTGTTGTTGGCACAAGCATGCATCGGAATAATGCGTTGGACGAAGGTGAGTGCCAAAAAATAAGACGGCCTTGTCAAAATTTAAAGATTTAAAATATTTATCTGTGAAACGTGTGAAGAGAAATTTGTTTGGGATCGTGGACAACTTTGCATGCATCATTGTGGCATATTTTCGTAAAATTTTCTGCAGACTGGCCACGTTCAGTAAACTTTTTGTGGACCAGCAAGAACATTTTAAAATAACTGCTATACAGTCCTCAGAACAAAACTTTTATTGCAAAAATTAAGTTGAGAACCTGTGAAGCAGCTAGAGTGAAAATGTCTTTTTTTTTAATATGATGCTGGACTTGAAGAAAGGTTTCTCAGATTGAAAACTGGAAGTAACATATTTCAGCACGTGAAAATATGCCTGAATTGGTATAAGGAGGAAAAGCAACAATTTATTTTTCGTCAGATAATTTCAAATGCCATTGTCTCCAAAATTTGGGATTGCAATAACAGACTTCATTTCTACTTTTAATAAATGTATTATGTGGAATACATTTTTCCATGGACTGGCAAAAAAAAACTTCTGCAGACCACAGGTTGGGTAACACTTTTACAGAGTGAAGATGAAGTGAATTCATTCAGGCGCGATGGATGTGTAACCCAGAGGTCCTTGGATCGAAACCACTCCCAGTGGTATTTTTTTTTTAACGCATTTTTTTGGAAACTTAAAAATTTAACGAAACATGGCAAATACTGTAATAGACTCACGTAGTTAGGAATGTGTAATGATATTATGAATTACGTTTTACGTTGAATGTGTGTCTTTGGTTCATGTAGCTCTTCAAATTATGTTCGTTACTTAACATGAGAAATATGCTGCTGGGGCTTTCAAATTCTTGCGAAACGATGATCAGAAATTGGCGCGCGTTTCCGAGTGCAGGTCACATTTGCTTCGAAAATATTTTTACATTCGTTTTTCCAGAAAGATCAGCATCCAAGTCAGTGCGGTCGTCATACCGGCAACCCGCATTCATTCGAGCCGAACCCCAAGAATCCACTTACGATCACGCCTCACCTGCAACTTCGACGACGAGTACGGTAAGTGTCACGATGAGCAGCAAGATGTCGTCCCCATCATCATTATCATCATCGTCGTCGTCGTCGTCGTCGTCGACACTGATGGAAAACCCTGGTTCACCTCCTTCCATGGATGCAGAGCTGACGGAAGAACGCGTCACTACGCTCTTCTGTCTGACCCCGAGCAAAATGATGCTCGCTTTCGGCGTGCTTTTGGCACTTTTGCTGGTCACTGTTTTGGCAGCTGCGACGTTTTGCGTCCGGTCTCGGCAATACGAAGTTCGGCCCCTGCCGCTGCATCGACCGCCGCCGCCAGGTGTCGCTCCTGGGACCCGGGGACTGCCGACGCCACCTTACGCCCACGTCATGAAGCCGAATTCGCCTTACTTCTGCGTCGTTCGTTGATGAGTGCACTTTTATTGTGCGATCTTTAACCTAGTTTCATGTGACACTTGGTAGACCATTCTTGATTGATCAGGGTCAATCATGAATGCCGATATGGTCATCAGTACAGATATAGAGAATCCATCCCTCGCATTATTGATGATGCGGTACACGTACTCTGGAGATTTTAAAAAGATATTATTTTTCTGTGGGAATAATTTTTAATTCAATTACGAAACATTGAGTCTGGGTTTCTCTCAGAAATTTCGATTAAAACGAAAGGGGTGAAATTAGGTCTCTTTTGCATATAACTTTCAAGTGGGAACGTTCTAAGTTTCACTGCACATGCATAATTTTATATCCGAAGCACACCTAAAAAACAATTTCTCATTTAGATTTTGACAAATTCACATTTGGTTTGATTTGTTTCAAAAAGTATAATTCATGATTAGGCGGTTAAATGAGTTTTTGAATAACCAGAGGGGGAAAAGTTCAATTTGTTTTTGAAGTACTTTAAATTGAAAATTCTGCAAGACAGCGTTGAAAAACTTCTGAAAATTTAACGTTAAAAATTATATGTGGGATAACATGAGCCATTTTTCTTTCATATTTTTCAAATTTCCAATTGTTTGGGTTCAAAATTGATGAGGAGTAAGAACTAGAAAAACCTTGCTAAATTCAAATTAAAACCAAGACGTCGAGTAAAATGACAATTTTGGAAGAATTTTCGCCATCGCATACGAATATTTTTCAGGTAAAATTTGGCACGTCAAATGGGAAGACCTATGAATTGCGCAGGTTACTGTTTCCTCGCTGTGATGGATTTTTGATAAAGTGCTGATTATTTATCATTGACCTATCCAAATAAATAGGCCAATTTCCGAAAAAGTCCATATTCAGTTTAACGATTGAAAATTTATTTTTCCTCTCAGGACTCAGCAGCAAGAAAATTTCCTCCCTTTTCACCGAAAAATTTCCAAGAGCTACAAAAAGTTCACGTATATGAGGTGCGCCTGATGCAGCATATATAGTAGTATATGTGATCGACTATACTGAGATATTTTTTCTCTCATTACTCGTCATTTTCCAGCAATTCAAAAATCCCATCTTGGAAATCAATTTTTCCAAGATTCTGGAATGCTGTAAGGTGCTGGTCACCAGATGTTTGGAATCATCTGATATACTGGATTGGTTTATTTGTTGGTCCAAAGGTTTTTCACTAGCTTGAAGAATTTTTGAATGATGCAAAATTGCATTTGTGGCAGCTATTTTTATCGAATTCCATGATTTTAAATGAGGTTGGCACTGATTTCATCAGCAGAGTGGCGCAGTGGAAGCGTGCTGGGCCCATAACCCAGAGGTCCGTGGATCGAAACCACGCTCTGCTATATTTTTTTTCGAGGAAAGCGTGTATTTCTCTGGGGATAATTTTTGAACGAATGTGAAAGATTTGTAAATAAATCTTTTTGTGATCTCGATGCACTCTCTCTCTATCTTTTTTAGACAACTTTGATTTCAGCGGATGAAGTGCTTTCCTGTGCATATGCAGATTTTTTTTTTACCTCATAAGGATTGCTTTTCAGCACATTATTCATTTAATATTTCCTTTTTATCTGAAGGGAAATTCGTACTGCTATACATACCGGTAATCAAAGTTATAGTATATCCTGATTTTCATAATTATGCTGAGATGGTAAGGGTTGCTTTTCAGCACATTATTCATTTAATATTTCCTTTTTATCTGAAGGGAAATTCGTACTGCTATACATACCGGTAATCAAAGTTATAGTATATCCTGATTTTCATAATTATGCTGAGATGGTTTTGAATTGTGAACATAATTTTGTCACAAATGCAAAAAATGAAATGCAATAACATTGGGTAAGATTGCAGCATTTTTTCAAATTCAAATACTGTACTTTATTTGAATTATTCAATTGAGTATCAAATTTTCTTTTCAACAATTCAACTATCAACATGCAGAGTGACTTTGTTCATTAGTTGTAAATGGAAGAGTGCTGAACTAGGTGTTTTCAATACTGTATATATATATATACCTTGGCAAGGAAGAGATGTCTTTTGGGTTGAAATAACTTCTGGAAGACATTTGTAAATCTGACCACAATTGTTGCAATAATGCTAAGCAATTTGTTTAGCATGCTGTAGAATATCAAAGTTGGTTTGGTCAAATTGTATTCATTCAAATTTGAGTTTTTGTTTCAGTATATCACTGTATGATTGATTTTTTATTTAGAACAACTCATTAATCAGCAGCAGAGTGGCGCAGTGGAAGCGTGCTGGGCCCATAACCCAGAGGTCCGTGGATCGAAACCACGCTCTGCTACATTTTTTTTCAGCTCATCTTCAAGGAAAATCTCTACTTGTTGACTTTCACGACCTACTTATATACCGACTTAAACAAGTTTACCGTTTGAATTCTTTAAATCCGTCACGTTTGACAATAAACTGAATTTTTTCATTGACTCATTTTAAGAGAAATCAGTAGATCTGCCATAAATATACTGTATTATAATATTGAATTTTCCGCGGGTTTGACTTGAGAAACCGCATGTTCCGATTCAGTTATAAATATTATAAACATCGTCTTATGAAAAAACCTAGTTTTTTTTTAAGACAATCTTGCTTCAAGAAATGTTTAAGTACATTACAGTAAGAAAATATTTTGAAGGACCCCACATAGTTTACTGTATTTTTATTTTATTTTCCGTGTTTTTGTTCTCATCACACCTGCTTATTTTGGATTCATGACCAAAAAATACTCAAAATAACGGTAGAAGTTGTTCATGCAGTAACTCATCATCTGCATTTCTTCCATCTTCGTCAAATTTTTTGCTAAGCACGAATACTCCTCAATCTCGAAAAAATAATGATGATAACAAATCAAAAGCATATTGGAATAAAAACTGGAATGCCATAACCAGCAGCACCCATGATGCAGAAATTAAAAGAAAATCAAAACGAAACGGGTTTCGCGGGTTCGCTGTCCTCCAGCCAGTTCTTCAACTCCTCCCCGTGGGTTTCCAGCCACCACACATTCAAATACGCCATTTCCAGTCCCTGGTTATAATTCCGAATCACTTTCTTCATCCGTCGTCCGTTGAAGAAATTCTCGGCCTGATTGATGTCAAACTTGTTGTTGAACTGAGACAAGACCTCGACGAGCATCCCGCCAAGGGCTGAGCCCGACAACTCGTCATACATCGTCTCCCAATGCTTTTGCATGTGACGCCAAGCCAGGAACATGCCAGCTGGGTTCCTGGCAATCCCGACAAACACAGTGCGGACATCTTGCAGGGCAATCAGGTCTCTGTTGTTCAGCTGTTGCAAAAGCCTGTGGGAGGGAATGTAAGAAAAAAAAGAAGACCTCGTCATTTATGTTAGATGACATGCCTCCCAGATGATGACAAGTATAGAAGGGTCCCAATAATAAGATGGCTGAAGCAATTCTTCTCAAATTGTGTCCTTGTATGTTTGGAAGATCCACATGTTGTTGGATCACAATTTTTCCTTAAGCCTAATCATTTACAAGTACTGTACCAAAACACACAATTTTTCTTCCTTAGAAATTTGAGCAAAAAATAAGGTGAGCGTTTTTCACATGATATTTTTTGAAAATTGGAAACTTGTCGCAACACAACAATATTTTTTTAGACTTTGTTATCTGTTTCAATATTACTCAAGTTTGTAAAAAAATAATCAACTATCTCTCTACAACAAAATTTGAATGATCAGAAAAAAAATTCTGTAGATGGAAAAAAATCTGTAGGGGACTGGGTCAAGCACCTGTAGATATTATATTAACAAGTAGTAGAGCGTCCGCAGTGCGGACAAACAAACAAAAAAAATGAAAAAACAATTGCAGAAGTGGGAATCGAACCCACACCTGCAGAACCAGACTGTGACCTGAACACAGCGCATTAGACCACTTGGCCATCCTGACAACTTAAACTAGTGACTGAGTTTTTTTTGATGTAACAAACAAACAGTAAACAAACAGGCCACAAACACACGTTACACAACGTCCTTATTATTCCCCCCCAGACCCCTGTAGGATCCTACTGGTTGTTCCTCCCACTGCGGACGTTAAAATAACCTGCATCCATGAAACCATAATTGCTGGGGTTTAAAGACAGTCCAGCACCAAAGAACTTGCCCCCAAGAACCTTCAAAACTTTTACAATGATGCTACACATTGTCTTTGGTTTTAACATGAATAACCAATCAAAAAGCAGCAAAAGGAAGCCCAACTTTCACCAGGAGCAAGTTTAACACAAACCCTTCCCCAATTATGCATAAAAGCCTCAAAAAATTGAAATCAACAGCACAATCTCATTCAAAATCTCATTCTCATTCTTAGCTTCCACTGCTTGAACCAATTCTCTTGGAAATTGTGAGAATTATTGTGTGTGTATCTCTCTTGAAGAAGATGCTGAGTTGTTGATTCTTTTGGGACATCAATAAATATAAATTTCTTGGAGCCACTATAAAGAGACTCCCTAGGCTGATAATGGTGTTTTACTTATAAATTCTCTTTGTTTGGGAAATCACTAACAGTTGTAACATTCACCTGTTGGATCACATTTTTTCTATACACCATATCTACAAGTACCAACGCACACCATTTTTCATCTTTAAAAATTGGGGGGGGGGGGAAATTGAGGTGAGCGTAATATAGCTTGGTACCAATTTTCATGTTCCTTTTTTACAATTGGAGCACAGCTATTTTTTTACCGCTCTGTTTCAATATCTCATCACATTTATAAGAAATAATAATATACTCTCTCTACAACGAAAATCGAATGAGGGACCAGAAATAAAATTTGTTGCAGAAAAATTCCGTTTAAATGATTTTCTGAGAATCACCAGCGCTTAAAACAGCAAAGAATGATTTTTTACATTCTTTTAAACAAGATAAATATTATTTGCCCCAAATAACAGTTCCTGGTTTGAAAAAAAAAGAAAACCTCAAATTTTCCATCAGAAACAACTCTTGGAAATACTTATCACCTTTTTCGGCTTCACGAAATGCGTCAAGCTGATTTATTGCTAATTTTGTACCCCAATATTCTTGAATGGTGAGTTTAAGTGTATTTTTCATTGAATATTTCGAGAAAATTCGTGCTGAGAGAAAATTGAATTTCTTCCATTCCAAAAATATGGTTTAAAAGAATCTATATACAGTACCATTCCAGTTGAGCAATGTTCCTGGTCTTGGTCATGGCGATGAGAAGGTCTTGTCGTTGGACAGGATTATTGCAACGTTTGTAAACCTTGAGGCATAAATCAAACGCATCTTTTCCCAGATAACGAACACCAGCGATGTAGACTGAAAGCCTCAGATCCGGTGGAAGTCTCTCTGATGATGACAAAAAATAAATAAATAAAAGTATAAAAACTGAAATGAAAATTCGACGAGTAAAATTGAACCAGAACTTCAATCAACTTCATAGAAAAGTCGTATTTCCTATATATTTTTAAAACCTTGCTGAAAAAATTGTGAATGCATTACAGTTTTTATAAATGACTGTCAATACTAACTTTTCATTGACGTTTCTCCGGGTCTCGCATGTTTGATGTAGTCTTCGATGGAAACTTTCCAGGACTTGAACAGATCAACCCCAGTTTCCACAGCTGCATTCATTTCGATCATCACACTCGTCTCCATGATTTTAGCCCGAAGCATTCTATAATGAAAATTAAAATTTCCAACTACGGTCAGCTGATCAAAAAACACACGGTATTTTTTAAACATTATCTTATACTGTATTCTGTAGTCTGTATACAGTACAAAAATTTGAGGAAGCGCAAGAATTTTATAATAATTATAGTAGATTAAAAAATTAATCCTAAAAACCACGTTTTTCAAGTAAGACTAAAAAGCACAAACAAATTTAGTAGATTAAAAAATTAATCTAAAAAACCACGTTAGAATGAAAGTTCACTGAAATACTCCATTGGTTGGGAAGGCCTAAGTCAGGAAAAGCCTGGGAGGAAATTTTTGTTTTCTTTTTAGGAATCTCCAATGCTATCCTATGCAGGAAAAAATGCAGCCCAGCAGTGAGGGATTTTTTATTTTTCATGCAAAATTTTCTGCAAGATTATAAAAAAAAATATTGGACTGCTTCATGACTTTTGGTACCAAAGTAGGATTTTTATTTTGTTTTCAGTGCTCATGGGCACAACATTTTGCAAAAATATCCCAATTTTTCTGAACAAGGGTTGTACCATTGGTCAAATTGAAATGTGCCTTATTCAAGAAAAATCCTGAATCTGTTCTGGGATGCAAAGGAACCATCCACCATCCAAGCAACAAAAATACAGTGGGGCTATCTGATAAATGGATGCTGAGACATACACTGGGGCCTCAAGATGTGGACACAATTAGTGTTCGGACCTTGTTCAAATGTCAGAATTTTTGCACGCCAGATCTTTTTTCCCCATGTACTTCAATGGGAACATATTTAATTGGTTCTCCTGTTCATCAAAAATTACAAAAACTTCCCATGAAAATTGAATGAAATAGCTTTTCTCAATGTCAAGGTGCAGAAAATAGCTGTGCAGAAGCAAACCAGGCAGACTCTGATCTTTTCCATGAAAAGGAGCCTAAAAGCTAAGAACAAGCGCAGGTCTTGCTATTTTGTGCACAGATGATAGAAAAACTCTGAAAAGAGCAAAAAAAATTAACTTGCATTGTAATAAGATTTTTTTAAATAATTAATCTACAAAAATAAAATTAATTTTTAAAAATTATTTAGAAAGTCTCATCGTCTACAGCTGAATATCATGATACACACCAGAAAAAAAAGCGATTGAATGTGCTGAAATTATTTTTTCTTGAGCTGTTTGAACAATTTCTATCATAAACCATTCTTTCTTCCTGGGGATTTAAATCATTACTTTGCAAAAGAAATATGGACGTTTGAATCCTCTTCTGCATGAAATGCAGTTTGAAAACTATTTCTGGATTATTTTTTCAGCATGCTTTTACCATGTGAGTGCGAATGCGTCGCTGAACAACGACGCCTTGTCCAAAGTGTCGAAACTCGACGGCGAATCGTCAATCGACGCCTGCAGCATTCGCCACAAGTCGGCCGAAATAAAGTATACAATAGTAATGAGCATTATTACTGGAAGTTTTGTTCATCCATGCTCCATCGCGAGTGACAGCGCCATCTCTGCCACCAACTAGGCAAGTCAGCCTCAGGTTCCAAATATCCGAGCAAGGAGAATTTGAAAGATGTGCTTCCGCTGGACCCGGACATGGGGGTGTTCTTGAATTGCTGTACCTTCTCTGTCTGGCAATCAATTCCCCATCGTCCATACTAAGTTCTATGAGTGGATAGCCCTGCTTATCCACCCAACTGTTCATGAAGTTCTGCAATGAAACCAATATATGGTCAAGAAATGTCTTGATACTGCTCAGTTTTATAAACCATCTTGGAAATTATCAAATTCAATTCAAGGCGAATCGGCGAATGGTGATGAACGAGATCAATCCTATTTTAAAAAAAGTTCTTAGAAACTTCACTATGCTCCTTCGATTTCTTTTATATTCGTCCATAACCTACTGGTTTTAGATTTTCTATAAATATAAAGTCAACATATATGTGCTAAATTTCGCATCCTTATGTCATATAACCGGTTTTTGGGAATTTATTCCTATTTGTATTTTAAGTTTAAACGTGGATTTTGGGTTACATTTGCATTTTTCATCAATTGAAAACGCCTTGATAAACGGCATCTTGGTTCGCCAAAACGAAGAAACGTTGAAAAAAACAGGAATTGGTGCTTAAATAAAAATTATTTTGAACCTCATTTCTCCTAAAAGTGCGTTTTTAATTGTACCATAATTCAACTCAATCACAATTTAAATCGCATTCATAACCATTAAATGAAAAATATTTTGCAATCGATGTGATTGAGATGAAAAAATTTAAAAAAGAAACATTGCCATTGCAATTGAGGAATTGCAATTTTTATACGCTATAAGCCCTCGTTAAAAGACCTTTTTAACGCTAACTTTAACCCGGTAACTTTAATTATTGGGACAAATACTGAACCCGGTAGTCGTCAGCTAAGATTTTATTATTTTTTTACAGTTAAGGTCAATATCAGCTGAATAAGCTGAATTTCAATATGTTTCTTTCAAAAAGATGGCATCTATCAAAAACTTAGGGCCCTTTATTCTCACCCACAGATAAAAGATGTTTTCCAATTTCTTTTTTTGCATTAAATTCAAAAGGCGACTTTATTTAAAAATCACTGCACTTTGATATGTTCAACACAAATACCTTCATTCCTTCTGCTCCAAAATCAGTGAATGATCCCACAGCAGCCCATAAATCCTTGGTGTCAGCATTTTCATACCTGTGAGTCTTCAAATAAGTTTTTAGTCCCAGTCTCAGCGTTGGTAACCCTATCACGTCTGCCACCATTTGCAACAAAGCAGGTCCCTGCAATTTCGCAGAAATTTCATTCATCAAAGTCATTATTAAAATTTTAAACTCGTGAAAAAAACAATAAAAAATAGTACTTTGTTGTAAGAGATCTCATCAAACAGTGAATTGGATTCATCCACCGACGAAATCTCCGGAGGTGAAACCGGGTGTGAAGATTGCAAGGAATCCAACCAAAGCCCCGAGGTCACTTTATCGTAGTAAAACTGATCTGAAATTAATTTATTAAAATTCCGTGAAAATGCCGCGTTGCTTCATGCGAATTTCTTTATTTATTTTTTTGATCAAAATATTCAGTGAGTGAATATATGACCTGTGATAGCCCAGTCCGGGTTGGAAACTTTGGCGCCCAACACTTCGACCCAAGAGGCGAATCCTTCATTGAGCCACAAGTCGTTCCACCACTTCATGGTCACCAGGTTACCGAACCACTGACAAAATACAAAGGAGAAAAAAATATATAAATAAATAACGCGGTGCAGTGTATGCATTTTTGCGGCTTTGAATTTGGTTTCAGTTCTTTTCCGTTTGAATGAACACGCACGGTTTTTTTGCGGTATTTATTTTGTCCGCGACTGCGTTTTTTTTTTCGCGGTCGACGCAACAACTGACACGTATTCCTTTTTATTTTTTACAGTACATGGATTTTCTTCTGAGGGTTGAAAAAAAGGATTTTAAAATTCTTCAATACTGAGGAATATATATATATGCCTCTTGCGTGAATTAAACATATCAGAACAGCCATCAGCAAAAAACAGTAATTTTCCGAATTTTCCGTTGGTTTATTTACAGTTTGATTAAAGTTCGAAATTTAGATTCATTATTACGGGTGTAGTTCGAAAAGGTTCATTTGAATTCATTGCTGTTTTGTGCACTGGAAAATGTCAATGATTTTAAATACTGTACAATATTTAATTCGTATGATTCGGCGCTATTTCGATACTTTTTCTTCGAGGCGATGCATGATTTCGAATTCAATCGATCAGGCATAATTGGAATTAATTGGACAATAAGCAAATACTGTATTTTTGGTATTTCAATTTTTTCTCTCTAATATAATTTACAAGTGGATATTGAAATGTTAAAATGCTTCTTCACCTGGTGAGCAAGTTCGTGAGCGACAGTTTGAACAACAATTTGCTTTTGTCTCTCGGAAGAAACAGCGTCATCTGCCAACAATGACGTCATTCGATAAGTGACGAGTCCCCAGTTTTCCATTGCTCCCGCTGAGAACCCCGGAATTGCAATCATATCTAAAAAAAAAATTCAACAATTTTAAATATGAGATGTATTTCTAAAAACCGTAAAGCCAGCATGACGATGCCCTTTTCTATCAATGCCTTCAATGAATAAGAATCCGGACGAATTCAACATTCGTCCGCAGATGATTGACACTTTACAGGAAAAAGTTGGAAAAAAATGTGTTAATTGTGGTATCCGGTAAATTAAAATGTTTTATTTGGAGCTCTTCAAAGAGTATTTCATCCATTTCGCCGAAAAGAAAAAGAAGCAATATATTAATTCAACGTTCAGTCCAAGAACTATTTTTTATTCATCATTTTCGGTACTGCATTTTTCGTTTAAAAAAATATAAATATATTCTACCTAGTTATTTTAGCAGGTGATGAGAAACGATAAAAGTAATTCAGCCATTTCACCAAGCAAAAAAAGTTAATTAATTCAACTCACGAACTATTTTCTGGCTGAATGTTTTTGATTTCATTTGTTTTTTTTTTGGTTCAATGCATGTTCGTCAAAATAACATTACCTAGTTTCGGCAGGGGATAAGAAACCCCGAAAAATTCTTCGTAGTAAGTCAGAACTTGCAAGGCAGTGTTCAGAGCCAAACCTCCTCTAGAAACTTGTTCTGCTGGCGCGTAAAGGCTGATTTTCACGCCTTTTGCTGTGGTGCTTCGTAAATACACATAGTCACACACAGCAATGGCGACCAAGTAGGTGCTCATCGGCACTGAAGTCATGAAATCGTCCCTTTCCTGCAATATTTCAAGCGAAGATAATTCTTTTCATAGATCAGGCACATCAGAGGAATATACAAAAGTAAATCCGAGATGTTCCATAGTAGGAAAGATTACCATAGCCGTTGCTGACACCATTCCACTCTCGTCTTTCACCTGGATTCCATCCGATGAGAAGCGTTTAAAAAGAATTTGAAAGAAAAATTTTTGTGCCATGAACATTGAAAAATTTGTTAGCCATTTAACATCAAGTTCAATAGGACCAAACAAATTGCAAATAAAAATATAGCTTGGTGAAATATTTGTCGTGAGGGAAATCCCGCAATATTTATGCAGTTGCGCGACATCTATGAAAGATCACATTAACGCATTTTCTCATCTAAATTCGGACACCGTCAGGTAACGTGTTATACGCTCAATGTTAAGCAGAAAATTGTCCACAGAGATTTAGCAGAGCTTTCAATAATGTGTAGCCTGAAATAATTATTCAAAAAAGATACTCACGTTTTGGGTGAAATAAATTCAACTTCAATTGGTATACATTGAAGGAAGTTGAATGAATCAACAGAGTTACAGTAATGTTTTTCGAGTATGTGAATTTTATACTGCGTATAAGAATCCGCGTGAACTAAATCCTCGAAGGTCTCATAAACCTGAGCGAGACATGACATAAACGTTCTCTAAGAAATTTTTATCAAATATTGTCTAGGTTGAAAGAAGTTGAACATGAAAATCATTTCTGAAATGAAATCAGTATCATTTAATGGCATTTCCTGGAGGAAATACGAAGACTGGCATAAATTATTTCAGTAATTAATTCCGATTTCCGACATTCAAGCCAGACTACATGTACAAGCAGCGAATTCGAAAAAAAAAACAATCTACTTATTCTTTCTCTCAAAGATGTCGCCCAAGTTTGACTCCCTGAACAGAAACTGTAGCGTACTCGAAAGAGGTTGAAACTCACCGTTCCTGGTTGGTAGAACTGAAGATCTTCAGTTTTCTTCAAGGGCATATTCGACAAAGATATTAAACCCTTGGGTCGAACCACTGAGATTGTAAATTTAGCCTTGAATTCAGGTTCGTCCCAACATGGAAATGCTAGTCTTGCCGAGCTTGGTTCGAAGTGGGTGCTCACGATGTTACTGAGAAAATATCGAGTACGAGAGTTCAGCCTAGATGTCACGTCTACAAAATTTAAAATCATTTTTTCTGGTCTACAGCCGGTCCACAATTATTTCATTTCGGATACCTACCTTCTCATCAATATTATTTGTGGAGTTCATTGCAATGAACTCCACAAATAAATGTTCAAACCAATTCTGTTGATAACAAATGTTCAGATTTTTTTTTTTACCAAAACATTAATTTTCATTCCATAATCAAATCAATCGAATTTAAAAACTCGCGCGGATAATCTTCGTTTTTCTAGTTTGCATTCAAATAATTAAAAGGGGAAACTATTTCTTGATACTAATGTAAAATTTATTGTTGGCTGGGATTTTAAGTCAAAATGTAGATGTGGACTCTTTATACAAGGATCTTGTCTACGATTTTCTTTATATAAGGAATTTTTTATTTGGTCCCATGCTGAGGTTTTTTCCCCTTAATGGTATCTGGTGGTTTTATAAAACGAAATTCTAGGGACCATAAAAAGTTCTTTAAAGTAGAGAAAATTTCGTTGTACAGAGTCCACCTATATTTGAATAAAATCAAATAGATTTTGGCAATTTTTATGACTTCACAATACTGTGTATACTTGTCTGAAGACATTTCAGAAAACTTCTTAGTGATACAGTAGTTTGAAACAATCTGTATAAATATGGTTGAATCATATTCACATTACCTGACTGCTCCATCGCCATTTTTATACTTGGACAAGTACAGTCCTTCCAAACCGTCTGACAAATGACCCTGGAAACTCATCTTCAGTGTGAGGTTGCATTGGTCATTTACAGATGTCGCTGTTTGCAGGAAAACCTGTTCATTTTTCGGCACCATGACGATATCCTTTTCAGAAGCATACACTTTCTTCCCCATTTGTCCAGCTTCACCTACGGCAGATGTTTGTACCATAGTGAAGAGTGACAATGTGGTGATGGTCAAGTTTTTTGCGTGGAAAACCAAGAAATCCGTCGGGCGTCTGAGTTCCAAAGTTATTTCAACTTGACCTGAAGAGATGAAACAGTTTTAAAAACTTGAATTTTCGTTTTGTTTTCCGTTTGAATAAAAATCACTAGGTTAACACAATGGTTACCAAATTTATCAAGTGGACTGTCTCTAAAACTATCTTTTCTACGACGATTTTCTCGGTATGAAGAATTTTTTTTGTTCCCTTGAATGAGGTTCTCTTCAAATGTTATAGTGCTTCGTCTCTACAATGAGATTTTCTCCACAAATAATTTTTTCAGGTGCCTTAAATTTTTTGTAGAGAGACTTCCAGCTGTATTTGAATAAAATATAACTGTACATGATTTTATCATTTACATTACTTCTCAGTGTTTAATTCTAATTTCCCACAAATGGAATACAGTCAACCCCTGTCTAACGGACTTGATTTGTGCAAGGGACAAGTCTGTTAGATAGAATGACGAATATACTGTAGTACTAGTCGAACCTCTTCAAAACAAAATTCAAGGGATCAGCACAAAAAATCGAGTTTGGGAAAAAATCCCTTACACGGGAGGTCTGTTAGGCAGGGGGCCACTGTATTCTCAAGCTACTCCAAGTGGAATTGATTTAGATATAGAAAATGTATTCCTCCTGCCTTGTAATAAGGATAGCTACTTTTCTGTAACAAACTTTTTCTAAAAAAGCTTAGTGGAAATGAATCACTCCTCTCACAAAACATCAGTGGTGTTTAACTATTTAGTTTTGGGTGTCTGTAAGAAAAATTGTCTGCACGTTTGGGCATACAGATGGTATTTACTTTGCAATTTGGCCCTTATCTGTTGACAGACTAGGGTCAAATTGCAAATTGGTTGAATTGCAAGAACTCTGTGAAATTTAAAAATATAAGTTTAAAAATTCAAATTCAAATTGCAAGTCAACATCCTTGCAAATTTTACCATCAAATTGCAGGATGATCAAATTGCAGGAGGTCAAATTGCAAGGTACCACATGTATCACATGAAGTATGGATGAGAATGACTGATATTTAGACAACAGTGAGTCTTTTTATCTTATCAAATACAGTACAGTTGAACCTCAATAACTTGAATCTCCTTAAGTCAAATACCTCTCTAAAAGTGTTTCCCATCTGAATTTCCTTAGAAACAATGCATTAAAACCTCTATAACTGAAAGGCTCTTCCTCACAAATCTCCTCCATTACTCAAATTTTCTCAGGCTTTATGGCTATTATTTCATTTGACACCAGAAAGAGAAAAGGCAATAAAAATTTAATTTGATGAGTTTTGTAAGGAAGTGAAGGCTAATTCGGGAAATGAAACCCTGCCTCCAATAAGTTCAGCATCCTGTCAACTAATTTAAAAAGCAATTTAAGACCCATGAATATCACCATTTAAAATTTCCTGCAATTCTTCTGTTTCCCACAACAAAAATGCTTATTTTCCTGACTCAAAACCTCCTCAAGTTGATTAATTTTGCTGGTGCTTTGAAATTCTACTTACAGAGATATTGGAGACAGATTTTTCTGTACGGTTTTTACGAGAGGAAATATTTGAAGCCGTACACCTTGTTTTTAAGTTTTTAATATGGCTTGATTAAATTTGCAAAGGAGGATTTGAAATTAGAATTGTCGAACAGGATTTTTAGAAGAAGATTTTCAAGAACAGGATAAATGAATTCAACACAGCAATTGGCCGGTGCGCGAACCGACCAGGGATTCTCTCCCAAACAGCGCAAGCCTTTGTTAGCAGATCGACAAATTGAATTGAATACAAAATATGCACAACAGGTTTCCGCGGTAAAATATGCACAACAGTTTTCC